CACCCCCATCTCTGCCTTGTCCATTCTGGGTTGTTACTGTCTAGGAAAGAATCTGTCTCCCCTTTGAAGTATACACCCCATGAAGGCAGGGCTGAGGCTGTCTTTGTCGTTGCTGGGTCCCCAATGTTGCCCATCATGGCCAGGGAAGGTACTCAATCACCAATAATAATAATATTTATTGAGCCCTTATGCATATGTGCCAAGTACCATTTTAAGAGCTTTACCTGCATATTCTCGTCGCCTGCAATCCTGTCATTATCCCAGTAACAGACAAGGAAACTGACACATAGACTTGCCCAAGGCCACCCAACTGCTCAGGGCCAGAGCTGGGATGTGAACCTGGTCATCCTGTACCCTCAATCAGCCACCTTCCTCTGCTGCCGAGATGTTTGTTGAGTGACTGCAGGTGAGGAATGACCTGTCCCTTTTGTTCCTCTCCCCAGCCCAGCCCCAGAACAAGGCTGAGATCAAGGAGGACCCGCTCAGCCAGGAGCCTGTGGCCTGCTGCGTCTCCACAGGAGGTCGCCCGCCTGCCAGCATCTCCTGGTCCCTGGGTGGGGAGCCCAATACCAGCCAGGCGGTAGGACCCCTGCCTGGCACATTCACCGTTACCAGCTTATTAACCTTAAAACCCTCAAGCCAGATAAACCTCAAGAATATCACCTGCATCGTGAAGCACGAGACCTATGAAAAGCCTGTGACCCTCCCTGTGCACTGTGAGTGTGCCCAAGTGGGAGCTGCGCCCACCCCCCATCGTCTACACTGACTGCCCTAGACCACAAACAGTACTGTCCTCCATTAACTCTACCAGGGTCTTAGGCCACAGTCAATGCTGCTCCCGGGTTGCTTACGCTGGCTCCCCTGGCTACTGTCTACACTGACACCCACACTGTCTGTCCTGGCTCCCTGGAGCACAGGCTACACACACTGTCTACGCTTGCTTCCTTGGGCAACTACCTACCCTGACCTTGCCCTCTGCCACACTGCTTCCCCCGTTGTCTCCACCAACTCCCTTGTTCATTTTCTACACTGCCTTACCATTTGTCTACACTGGCTCCTCTGGATCACAGAGAGCACCGCGCCCATTGTCTACACCAGTCACGTAGGCCACCAACTCTGTTGTCTAGACTGCTCCTGTGACTACTGTCTACATTGACATCCTGCATTTTTACACTGTTCTCCCAGGCACTCTTTCACACTGCCCCCCAACATAGTCCACACTGGATCCCCTGGACAACCATCTACATTGCCCCCCACCCCCGCTCCCCAGTGTAGTCTTTATTCCCCTCTGCCCCAATATTGTCTATACTGGCTCATCTAGGGGCTATGTCCTCCCATCATTGTCTACACTGAATACTCCCCCCGGGGCAGTTGCTACACGGATTCTCTCAGGCACTGTCTACGTTGGACCCCCTCAATATTGTCACTGGGTCTGAGGGAAGAAGGGATCTACACTGGCTTCTGCCCCCTCCCTCCGAAAAGAAACATTCTGTCTCATTGGCCTTCCCCCTGGGGACTTTGAAAAGTTCCCTGTAAATCCCATCTGGCATGGATAAGCAACCGGCTAAAGCAGAGTCATTCAGGATTCTTTCCAGGCCTTGAGTATATCCTGTGTGCTATGAGTCTCCAAGAAGCCTTTTCTCACAGGACTACAAGGCACGCTACCCAAGGACCTGGCCACCCAGAAAAATGAGTAGAGAGGCGGGTCCTGAGAAGCGCTGTCTGCGCCCTGCTACCTCCTACCACTCCAAGGACTCCCAGGCTTCTATGAGGGAGCCCTTTGTCCCAGACTCTTCACGGGCTTCTTGAACTTGGGCTGTTCCCAAAACCCGCTGAAGCTTTTTTCTGTTGTGACATGAATCCCACATATCTTTAGGCCCCTCTGAAGACCCCTGTCTCTAAACCGGTGTGTGTGTTTCTCCCAGACCCCCCTGAAGTCTCCATCTCTGGTTATGATGGCAACTGGTACCTCGGCCAAAGTGAGGCCAACCTGAGCTGTGATGCCTACAGCAACCCAGAGCCCACAGCCTATGAGTGGACCACGTGAGTCTTGGATGGACCTGGACCCCTGGGTCTGAGGGAGGAGGGGCTGGGGGCCTGGTCATCTGGGTCTGAGGGAAGAAAGACCGCAGGCTGGATTCTGGGGTCTGAAGGAAGAGGAGGGGATGCAGGACCGTAAAAAGAAAGGAGAAGTTGACTTGGGGCCCCAGGAACATTTCCGCGTTGCATGCGCAGAGTTTACGAGGGGGTTAGCCCAGGTTCACAGGTACACCTGCTCTTTATGGCTGTGTGCCCAGTGCTTACCACATCCCATGTGAGCGCCATACTCCAGGCACAATCAGCATTACTGCCGTGCCCAGGTTAAAGATCAGCGTGCCGTCATGTGTCCTTGTCACACAGCCACAACAGTGCAGAGGTGGCTCTCCGACTGGCATCTGAATCCAAACCCAACCCTCTTACTTCTGGGCTGTGCCACCTCCCCAGTCACCTCTGGAAGAATGAATACTGTCCCCAATCTCTAGATGAGCAACTTGAGGCACAGAGCAATCAGAAGATTTCCTGAAATTCATACCAGCCCTGGGATTAAGAATGGAGGAAGAAAAAGGCAAAGGGGTCAATTGTTTGACATGATTTTTATTGGGCTATTTTTCCTTATTACAAAAATAACTTATGACCATTGTGGAAACATTAGACAATACAGTTATGAACAAAACTGGAGAAGATTGCACCTCCTGTCAAATGTACCCAGCCACCTCCAGAAATACACACTGTTGCCCTTTGTTCTATATCCCTCCTGTCTTTTTTTCCTGATTTCTAAACAAAAACTGTGCTGTCTGGGAAATTTTGAAACTTCTCTATCTCATGAACACCCTTCCAAGTCAAAGCACATAGATTCACATCCCCGTTTCTCCCAACATTTTATCGGGAAAATTTTCAAACATACAGAAAAATCGTAAGAATTTTCCAGGGAACATTCAAAAACCCACCACATGGATTCTCCTGCTAACGTTTTATGGTGTTATCACATTTCTGTCCATCGGTCCATTCCTCTCTCCATCCTTCAAACAGTCCATGTCTTCTATGCATTTCAAAACGCCCACAGCCCCTTTTGAAAGCTGCCAGGCTCCCATCAAATGTGCATGATATCAGTTATTTAACCAACCCCGAATGTGGGGTACAGAGGTGCTTGCCCGTTTTCATCTCTGCAGATGCTATGGTGGTGACCATCCCCGTATACCCACCTCTGGGGACAGTCACAGTCATTTCTCAATTGTCTGTCAAAGGAATTGCTGGTCAATGGTTTTCCATTGCTGCTGACAGAAGGCACGTTTGCTGGCTGCCTCAAAGCACCTCGTGTGGCCGAGTTTCCTCCCCAGCTCTGCAGACACCCAAACCTCTATGCCTCTCCCTTCTCCATCCATTAAACCGATGTTTTTTGGCTGCTTACTATGTGCCAGATGCTATTGCATAACATACCTTGGTAAATAAAACAGACCAGATTCCCTCCCATCATGGGGCTTCCATTCCAGTGGTGGAAGAAATAATAAGATAACATTGTAAAGCACATCATGCTGTGGAAAAGACAAAGCAGAGGAGGGGGATGAGGAGGGTGTCCCTGCCATTGAAATAGGGTGGCCAAGGAAGGTATCATGAAAGGCAACCTCTGAGCAGAGGCCTGAAGGAGGTGAGGGTGGGCTACGCTCGTCCTGCTACGCTCATCCCTGGAGAAAGGGCATTCCAAGCAGAGGGAATAGCATATGCAAAGACCCTGAGGTGGGAGCATAACTGGATTATTTGAGGATCAACAAGGGGGAGAGTAACAGATAATGTGGTCAGTGGTATCGGGGACCAGCTCATGTAGGACCTGTGGCTGTGGTCATGGCTTTGGTAATTACTCTTGAGTGAGGCGGGAGCCACGGGAGAGCTCTGAACAGAGGAGAGATGTGGGCTGACTTAGTTCTAACAAGATTGTTCAGGCTGCTGAGTGGGGGACAGAGTTGGGTGGGGGACAAGGGTAGAGGCAGGGAGCCCAATAAAAAGGCGGCCACAGTGGCCTGGGAGTACAGGGATCAGACCAGGGTGGTGGCCGTGGAGGCCCTGAGGAGTGGCTGAGTCTGGATAGATTTTGAAGGTGGGGCAGACAGGCTCCACTAATCGGTTGCAGGTGGGTGAGAGGAAGTCGGGAACTTCAGGTTGCTCTTAATTTATATCCTAGATGGCACGGGGGGTTTCTGTATTCCTGGCATACAGTGAGTGCTCCATCACCTGTCACNATAAACATCTGTTGAGCACCTGCTGTGTGCCAGGCACTGAGTTTACAAAAGGAACAGGACAGGGATCTCGGCCTTTGTGGAGTTTATCTGTTGGTGGGCGTGTCAGCCTGTGCCTCTGTGTCTCTGGCTTCCAAAGCCTAGTCTCCCATGGCTACATCTGATTTGGGGAGCCTGGGTAATGTGACAGTGCCTGGCTGAAAGGAGACTAAGAAAGCAGGTCTCTGGCAGAACTCCTGAGGTGGAGGATTCCCAGGCAAGCGCAGGCCGAAAACACAAGAAAGGCCCAGGACATAGAGGTATTATGGCTGCCTGCATCTTACAGATGAGGAAACTCAGGGAGGGAAAGTCAGTTGCCAAGGTCCCGTAGGCAGTAAGCAACCGTAGCGGGGCTCAAAAGCCCAGAGGAAAGTCACAGTCATTTACAGCTGGTGTCTGTTGTCCCGTAAATCTGGTCACGGGGAACTGGGGTCTTCAGACAATCCTGCACAGGCTCCTCAAAGCCTTCTGGCCCCTCCGATACCCAAGGCAGTTAATTACGGAGCCTGACTCCCTTTTACACACCACGTGCAGAGTGCTTCACATGCATTCATCCTCTGCCTCTTCCCAGCCAAGGCATGATGAACACCCGTTATTCAGATGGGGCGATGAAGGCACAGAGAGTTTAAGCAACTTGTCCAGGCCACCCAGGTAGGGAGCAGGACTCAAACCCAGGCTAGCTGGCTCCGGAGCCTACACTCTTAACTAGGACTTTATAGTACTCCCCCCACCCTTATCCACGGTTTCGATTTCTGCGGTTTCAGTTACCCGCAGTCAACTGTGGTCTGAAAATACTAAATTCTGGAACATTCCAGAAATAAACAATTCGTGAATTGTGTGCCATTCTGAGTAGCATGATGAAATCTCCCACCGTCCAGCTCCATCCCACCCGGGATATGAAGCACCCCTTTGTCCGGCGTCTCCACACTGGAGATGATCCCCGCCCGCTAGTCCCTTAGTCGCTGTCTCAGTTATCAGATTGACTGTCGAGGTACCACAGTGTTTGTGTTCAAGTCACCCTTATTTTACTTAATAATAGCCCCAAAGCGCGACAGTAGTGATGCTGGCAATTCAGATACGGCAAAGAGAAGCCAGACCAGATCCACATAACTTTTATTACAGTATATTATTATGGTTGTTCTATTTAATGCATACTATTGTTGTTAATTGCTTACTGTACCTAATTTATAAGTTGAACTCTATCAGAGGTATGTGTGTATAGAAAAAAAACATAGGAAATATAGGGCTCAATACTACCCACGGTTTCAGGCATCCACTGGGGGTCTTGGAACGTATTCCCTGAGGATAAAAGGGAGACTCCTGCATTCTGCCTCATCATTAGCAGCCATCATCGAAGACTAACTCTATTCTGTCGAAGGTTTACTATTCACCAGCAATTGACCTTTTCATCAAATGACCAAACCTCTCAGAGCCTCCATTTCCATGTCTGCAAAATAGGGGCAATCACAAAACCTCCTGCCACAGGGTGGTTATACGGACTGGCTTGGCAAATCCACCTGATGCTGCTGCTTTTGAAGCTGTGGAAATCAACCAAGACCAGCCAAATAAGAAAAGCAAAGGCTATTTACTCTGAGCTTGCTATGTATAGCAAAAGAATCAGCCGCTATCACTGCAGACTCAAAGGCAGGCAGAGGGGTAGGAAAGCTTCCTAGTGGAAAATAGAGAAGGCTTCTGGGGTGTCCTGACTGGAAACTGTTGACATGCGAGTGGGGAAACTAACTAGAAGCAGAGCATCCTACGTGACTGGTTAGGATGCATATTTGGCTCTCTCTGGTTGTTCTTAAGTTAGGAGCAGGGACAAAACTAGAAAAGCTATCCATTATTAACCAAGTTCTGGCCATTTGGGGGTGATTGTTACAGAAGTTATTGTCTAGCTTCCTGAAGAGTCCCTAGAAATAGCAAGCTGGCTTCCTGCAAGTCTGACTTAAGCAGGCTGACTTGCTGGGCTGCTTATGAGAGGATGGGTGTCCTAGGCAGGTTGCTGCAGGCTGTGGGTCAGCATTTTCCTTTTATGGATGGTATGGCCATTGTCCGTTTGTGTAATGGTCTCTCGAAACACTTTTCAGGTGTGATTGTATCTAATAAAATAACAGCATGGACAAATCTGGTCCACAGAAGAAGACCCCGATGATTCTTTGTTAGTAGAACTGAGTATACATGGTCTCCGAGACCAGTGAAGAGAAAAATCAAAAAGTTTTCAGGCCTGAAAGAGAAAACAGAAGGTGAGGTCCAGTCCAAGTTACTTTTTGCTGCAGAACAAACTCAGTGCTGTAAAACAACGACCATTTCATTTATTTTATTTTTTTAAGATTTTTTTATTGGGGAATTGTGGAAGGGGAACGGNGGAACATTGTGTTTTTCTGGGACCCATCAGCTCCAAGTCAAGTTGTTGTCCTTCAGTCTTAGTTGTGGTGGGCACAAGCTCAGCTCTAAGTCCAGTCGCTGCTTTCAATCCAGTTGCAGGGGGTGTAGTCCACCACGCCATGCAGAAGTCGAACTAGCAACCTTATTGCACACTGAGCCATCCACCCGCCACCACCCATTGGCAGTTCGCGGCTGCTCAGCTCAAGGTGCTATGTTCAATCTTAGTTGCAGGGGGGCGCAGCCCATCATCGGATACGGGTGTCGAACTGGCAACCTTGCTGCTGAGAGCACGCACTCTCACCAACTCAGTGGCAGCTCAGCTCGGGAGCCAGTTCACTGGCCCATGTGGGAA